TGACTGGGTTGGATTGGATTGGAATATCCATTTTAACACCCATATGTACAATACAATTAATTTAAGGATTGTTAACAGAAATTTAATCCAAACACACAATCATTTGTTACTAGGTGAGTACCCGAGGTATGCGTAGGTTTTTTTAGTGTTTTGATTTTAACTTTGTACTCATAACATGTATAAATATATCAATATGTTTTTCGTTTTTGTGAAAAATAAAGCTGAATTATTATTTGAAAAAAAAACTTAACAAAGAAAAAATGGAAATGATCTTGTTTGCTCTTGTTTGTTATAACCAGTATGGTTTAAGGCATAGACCAAAAAATTAGTGACAATTTTAGGTTCAAAATTTATAACAAATGCCGAAGAGAATGAGCTTAAAGATTGTTCATTTGTATGGTAGAATTGTCTTTTACTAGGAAAATTGAATAACTGTAGCTGTACGTTATGTTAATTGCTAGCTATGGTTATTCAAATGGATTTTGTAGCGTAGGCATGATCGTTATTCGTTGATGTCAATGCTAAATCAATATTCTCTCTTTTGTGTGTGTGTAGCGGTACCATTTAAACCAAAGATAGGTAGATCATATTGTATTGCTAAGAACCACGTCTGGCCAATAGGAACCAAACCAATTCTAAGTTAAACTTATTCACGGTTTGGACCGTTTAATGAGCTAACTCTCAAACTTTTTATTCAGTTTAATGATTTCTCAATTTTTATCAAAAGCTAGTGTTATTTAATATTTTTTTGTATTCATGGTTAATGTCATTTTGAAAAAATTTAATAGAAAGTTTAATGAAAAACGTACGTGAAGAACCAATTTCTTGCCATTGAAGTGTTACTAGGAAACAAACCCCGCGCGTTGCCGCGCGGGCAATGCTTATCATTAATATTAATTAACTATGTAATGTGTTTAAAACAAATTGTATATTGTAATATGAATTGATTGTTAGTAATGTGTAAGTAGAAATTAAAAAAAAAATTTGTAGCTGACAATAATGAAAAAAATAATTGTATGTATTGTAATATAAATTTGATGTTTAATTTAATTTAGTTAAGATATAATAAACTTTAGAAATTAAATACAATTTTGTTTCTACTATAAAGTTAATTTAACTATAAGTTGAATAACTGAATTATGAAGATATGTAATCATCATATATTATTTTTTTCCTTTTCCTTTGCTTTTTTTTTTAATACAGTTTGTTTCTCTTCATCTTCTTCATTAAGCTTGGCATCTTCAAGAGTTGGTAATTCTTTTTCCTTTGGTAATTTTTTTTTCCTTGGTTTTGGTTTGTTTGGAGGGTCGCTTTTTGAATAGTTCACTTCTTTATCTCCATATTTCTCTGTTTTGGGATTGTGTATGTAGTAAGATCTTTGCTTTTAACTTCATCCCGAATTTCATCATTTTTCTTTGTGAGAAACTGTAATGATTAGTTTAATTTAGATTATAGTTTTTGAAATAAATAATTAATTAAATATGAATTATTCAAATTTACCTGATCTATATATATTGGATTTCCTGTGTACCTATAACTGATAACACAGTTGATGTCGATTGGAAATTATACTCTTTGATTTTCAAATCGAATTTGTAACTTTTTCCAATGAGTTTTTCAGATAAAAATTATATAATTGCTTCATCTGTTGAAATTTTTAATTTCTTTTCCTGACATGTAAATTTATATATGTTAATATTAATTTTTATAAGTTGAGTTACACATGAAATTTTATATACCAAATTTTATTAAACATACTTACATATAATTTGATCAAATCAGTTGCTGGTATATTCAATATCTTTGTCATATCTTTGTTGAATATTGTCAATGAAGCTATATCTGAATCATCTTCTACCATGATTTCTACTTTGTAC